AGTCAAGTGCCTTTGGCACTACGCCACCAGAGCTCCTATACAGTAGCTGCTTAATAAATGTTGGCTGCTGCTGCTATTTTTGTTAATAAAGTTACAGCGGAGTGAGTTCAGATAAACTCAGGACACACAATGGGAACGCTGAGTTGGGAGCTGAAGACAGGGTGGAGGCAATACACTAGCTGGCTTTTGAAATATATGTATTTCGTCCATGAAGAAGCAGGTTACAAGCATTCCAAGAAGGCAAACAGCGTTACGTATACATGGCAGTAACTCGAGCTGCTGTCACACACCTCTCTGCTGCCATACGCTACACGATGCGTGCAAAGGGACTGCAGTCAAACACTAGCACCGAACTCTACTTAAACCAATGGTTATTCCAACACTGTGCATCTTTTCCCGATTCAAAGGAAAAATTGTATTGACATAACACTATCACGTTAGTATTACCGAGAAAAACGGGTTGCTAGGCAAGACTCCCTGTGCGGCCAAATAGCTGAGGTCGAGTCGAGGTGGGCGAAAGGCAGTGTTATTTCTTTGGCCCAAAGGAGGGCACAGTGTGACTGCCCTCCAAGGCTGCTCCTGCAGGACAGGCAGTGCCGCGTATTATAGCGGGCTTGCAAACAAAGAAATGGCATGCGCATGCGAGGCGGGAACCACTGTGGGCTTTGATTTAAGGGTCCGCGCGCTACAGCGAGTTGGAAGGGGGCGTGGTTCCCGTGGACCAACTTGCTTCCAGTGCTAGTCCTGGCGTTAATGTGTCTTTTGTTTCCACTGAAGGGTGACTTTAGTGCCCGTTGGTCTGAAAAGTCACTCACGGTATGAACAAGGCATCTGGAATCGGTCTTGTTTGGTTTTCTTGTTTTTCAGTCTGTAGTTATCCACAAGGACTGCACTGGTGGCCGGTGAATAAATGGGGAAGCAGTGAACAGGGAGACGGGTGAGCTGTGGACTTTTGCCTGGCTGGAGGCACAGTAGGCAAAACAGTTTGGTATTGGTAAAAGACAGACACATAGACCAATGGAATAGAATTGAGAACCCAGAAATAGATCCATCAACCTATGGTCACCTGATCTTTGACAAAGGGCCGAAATCCATTAAATGGGAGGAGAATGTTTGTTTAATAAATGGTGCTGGCAAAAGTAGATATCCATTTGCAGAAAAATGAAACAAGATCTGTACTGCACACCATACATAAAAACTAACTCCAGATGGATCAAAGACTTAAATGTGAAACCTGAAACTATAGAGTTCCTCAAGGAATATCTAGGGGCAAATTTAGGGGCCCTAATATATGGCATAAATAGACTCTCAAGCATAATCCAAAATACACAAACAGCAAAAGAGAAACTAGATGAATGGGACCTTCTAAAATTTAAATTTTTATGTGCTTCCAAAGACTTCTCCAAAAGAGTCAAAAGAGAACCTACAGATTGGGAAAGAATATTTGGCAATGACATATCTGACA